GATCCTCCTTCGTCCGGTGTGTCCAAGCTGGCTTTCCGTAACCCAGACGTGGTCTAATGAAGGCGCCAGATATTCTTCCGAAGAGATCAAGTGGAATATTTTAAACGCGCATTTGATCCACTGCGGTCTACTAATTACCTTCTTGTAATGTGCCGAGCGGGGCGAGGTTGGGAAGACTGGTATACATCATGTATCGTCGAACGCCGGGGATAAATCCGGGCTAAGTCAGAAGTGAAAGAGACTGTCAAACTTGTCAACACTCATCCAGACAATAAAGGGAGTAAGGCTAACGTGAACGTTAAGCATATAATACGAACGATATGGGCAGAATATATAGCGGAAAAAGGATATACAGAAGCATCTGGATGGAGAGCGATGCTGATCTGCCTGCTAAATAACCGGTGGGGAATACATTGCACGTTGCAACTGTAGGTAAAACTTTGAAAACCGGATGTCGTTGTTGGAGACACGTTGCCTGCTTTTGAGTTGCGGATAAGGGCTCGGCAGTTTGTAGGTAAGGGACGCAAGTCATTTTCACCGACACGCGAGTTACACCATTTCTATCCCAGATCCGCGCGTAAAAATGTCCCACTTCATATGAATAATCTCATTCAGTGATCCAGGGCGTTATATTCTGAACTGCCTTTTTTACAGTGCTCTAAGGGAATCCACTTCGCGGTTTTTCATATGCCCAGATGTTTGTACCTATCCATTTATAAAATAATTATGTTTCTGCGACACTTTTCGACCGAGTCTGGTGTGTAGGACCACATACTTGAGTACATTAAACTTAAGAAGCCACATGGACGACAGACAATCAGTTTGCCGATATTCGATTGTAACTTTGTTGCGTCGTTAGTGTTGTTGACTTCAGCGTATATTTTTATGCCAACCCAAAAAAATGACAGCTTCACAGTCTAAGTAGATTTGGAGGGTTAGCGGGCCAAAACAGAACATTTGGGTAAACAACTTTCTACTTTTGCCGATTCCGAGGTTTTCCAATAACGACCTGTTCTCTGAGGGATGATAAATTCCTGACCCTGAGAAGACCAGATTGTTATGAATAGTTTATTCTGCAGAAGGATAGAGGAATAGGTAGTGAGAGAGGCGGTCCAGGTCCGAAGTCCTGTCTAGGGAGCAGACATCCGAGCCGCCAGCTTTGGCAGCAACCGTGAAGGTCATTGATTGGACCACGTGTGGGTGACCGGCGTGGACGCTTAGTAGGTGCGTCAGTGCGTCTGGTGGTAGCATCGGCCTTGAGCTTTGTTCCAGACCGATTGAGGTCAAGCCACTGTGGGTTGAGGCCAGAATGGGGGAGATATTCTGCGTGCGTTTGGGTGCGTCTCACTTAAGCGTCAGCTTCGTCTAGCAGCAGTGGCGATAAGGTCCACTAAAGGTCCTCCAGTGCTCATTTGATACATCATAGAGTTTTATTTCTCAGGATACGCATGACATTTAGCTTCTCACTAATACTTACATGATGGGAGGTACGTGTCGGAATAATGCCATACCTGAAGTCTTAGCAATATCAGGCCTGCAAACAGGCAACCAGTGTTTGATATGAGTACGGAAATATTTGGGAACATATAAGGGACATTCTCAGTTCTTGGGCCCCTTTTCATCATCTACGTTAATGACATCGTACGAGATGTTAAGTTTGACATACTACTCTTTGCAGATGATCCCAAAATGTAGAGGTAAATGAAAGACCACTAGGAATTCCAAATACTACAACAGGATAAAGACCGACTGCACTTTTGAAGCAGGAGTTGGTGTATGAACTTCAGCCCAAAAATGTGTAGTAATGCACATGTTATCAGCAAGACGCTGCAGAACTGCCCCCTCGCGACAACATATCGTGGGAGACCAAATACCTGAAACAGTGAGTGTGCAAAGAGGCCTTGGTGTACTTGTTAAAGAAAACCTAAGTGTCACCACATAGTGCTCCAAAGCCGCAGCGAGATCAATGTCGGTCATGAGCACCGTAAGAAGAACGTATTTTAACCTGAATACAGATAGCTTCGGCAAAGTATATGGAACTTTCATGCGGCCGCATCTGGATAACGCGATACAAGCTTGGCGGCCTTAGAATGGCATGGAGATCCTTGAAGGTGTCCAACGACGTTCTACTAAGGTAGTCCCTGAAATCAAGGAGTTCACATATGAACAACGATCGATTGCTTTAAATCTCCTTCCCCCTCCATTATAGCAACGTTTCAGTTACTAAGGTGAACTGGTCTGGATGTTAAGCGGGAGGATCTCTTTCAAATGGTTCCAAGAAGGAATCTCAGAAGACATGAATATCAGTTGAAGATGGAGGTAAGGCGAAAAAACTACCGTTCTTCTCTCAAAGGTTCATTCAACGTTGAAACTCCTTGCG